CTCTCTATAGGGTCTTCTCCTGTTCCCAATCACTCCCCAACGGCAGTCCTGGGGCCAGTCCCTGGCCTGCCCTTTCTCTGGCTCTAGTCAGTCCTCAGTGAGAAGACCCATTTACATCTGCACCCAGACCTCTGTCCTGGACACCACACGTCCAGCGGCCTTCGATGTCTCCCTGCGGTGTTCACAGCCATTGCAACCTCAATGTGTTCGAAGCTGGATGCTTCCTTCCACCACCCTCAGTCCCAGCGATGGCAACACCCACTTCCTGCTGGCCCGGCGAAACCCTGGCCCTCGGTGCCTCCCCAAGCTCACGGCCCTTTGTCAGGGCATCCTGTGGACATTGCCCGTGTTCAGAAGCTGACCCTTCGTGTGAAGCACCCGTCGTCCCTCGCATCACGCCATCTCGCTTTGGGCCGTTTATTCAGCGAGACTTCCGGCCACCTGCCCGGGCAGCGGGATGGATGTCACAGATCATTTGTGAACAAGGGAGCCAGTTCTCAGCAAGGCTGTGCCTGAGCCAGTGCGTGACCTCGCCCCAGACACGGTGCGATGCGAGTGTCCCCTGCAGTTTGCGAATCTGGCGTCACCCATCGTGTGGCCATCAGCACCCTCCGGGGCACCCCTTCCCAGCAGCCCTTCTGTAAAGGCCACTCGCCCCCCAGGGCTGCTCCTCACCGCTGAGATATGAAATGTTAACAGGCACATTCATCTGTTGGATTTATCGTGGGCCACACGGGACATTAAGTGGCTGTTGCTTGGAGTGTTTACCCTCCCTGTCATGATGGCTATGTTCTGCCGACCCCTTGCTGGGCAGCCTAATTGGGGACACTACAACAGGGCTGTGACAGGGTTCAGCACCCCGGTGTACGCATGCCAGCTCCCATGGTGCGCGCTGAATAAAATGCTCTTTAATTCAGGAACAGATATCATTAACTTTGTAAGTAGATGAACACAATGGACAACCAATTTAATTAACTTCTGATGTTGGCTGTTGGACGGGAGACAAAATGAAATTATACGTGCATCTCTCAAGCAGGCAGCCAGCCTGGAGAGGGCCGGGCAGTGAGGGTCAGACGGGGGCACACCTTTGTGCCGTCATTTCACGTTGAGCCCAGAAGCTGAAATTGGAAAGTCAGTACTTTGTAAAGAAGTCAGCTCTCATTTTCGATGGTGACAAAGCTGCTCGGAGAGGTGGCGCAGCCTCGAGACAGTGACATGCTAAATGTGACCTCTCGCACACGCTGCCTTCTGGAGAAGGCTGGGCAAGATGGGCAGGCATGCCGCCTCATCCCATTAGCCCGGCCGCCCGTGAGTTTATTACACAGGGAGAGATCAATGAAGCGCTGCATTGATTTAAACAAAAGCTTTGTTTCATTTATTATTGTTATAATCTAATGAAAGTGATAGTAACTTAGCTATGATTTATTGCTCAATCTATTAAATTTTATTAAAACCAGGAGTCTTGGGACTCTGCAGTCTTTTACTCTCGTGAGAGAGTTGGTCCTTCTCTTGGTAAAAGTCTGATTTTTTGCAGTCGTGTTCAGCTTCTTGGAAGAAGGCGATGCGTTGTGTTGCCCTTTAAACCCTGAGTAGACAGTCCTGCACATTAGCTCCTGAGCAGCTTAGCCAGCCACTCCTGCCGGTGTCCTGCATCTCCATACCTCTGTCATTGAACCAGGACTCTTAAACTCCTGCCGGGCACCAAGCATTGTGCTGGGCACTCAGAGGCGACGAGACCAGCCTCCCTTCCCTCCCAGGAAAGAAGACAGGTGGTAGGAAGGAAAGAAGCTCACAGCCAGAGTGGGCAGCACTGTACAAGGACAGAGACTGTGCCTGGGGCTGCTGAGGCTCTACCCACAGAGCAATCAGGGAGGGCTGCTGGGAGGAGGCAGCGTTTCCATGAAGACCTACATGGCACGGGAGAGGGAGTCATGTGAGAAAATGTTGAAAGTTGGCAAGGCAAAGCAGGGAAATACCCTAATGACGTCCGAAATTGACTTTGTGAGCTGGGGGTGGGTATGAAGGACCTGGGTGAGCAGGCTTGTGCCGGAGGTCACTGGAAGCAGAAGATTGGCAGAATCAGACTTTAGTTTTTTAAAAGGTCACCTTGGCATCTGGTGAATAAGAGGCTGAGGGGGCAGTCGTGTGCAGAGATGTAGAAGGTCAGAGATGTGGAGGGTGTTGGGAGGGACATGGTGGAGGAAGCAGCTGGAGGAATCTAGAGAGATCTACTGTTTGCAGGGGGAGCAGGAATGTCCTGCTGGGCGGGGGAGGGACTGGACTCCTTGTGAGAGAGACATCCACATGGGGATTGCTGTCCGGGGCCTAAGAGGCGGCCTTCAGGAGGCGCTGTGCATGTGAGAGTGTTACCTGGAAGATGAGGGATGGGGCCACAACAAAGGGGTGGGAGTAGGCTTTTTTAGGGACCCCAAGCAAACCCAGTGTGTCATTGTCATTGTGCACATGTGTGTCCAAGGACACCGTGCATGTGAAGATGTTCACTGTAGCCTCGGTTGTAATAGCAAACACATTGGTAGCAGTTTTCATGCCCAACGGAAGACTAGATAAATAAATTACAGTATTTTGGCATGTTGTATTATTATGTAGCATTTAAAAAACTAAAGTTCAGCCCTGGCTGGTGGCTAAATTGGTTGGAGCATATCTCCTGAGAGTCCCCACTTCCCTGAGAGCAAGCACTGTGTGCGAATGTGTGTGTGCTCGCACAAGTACTACCTGGGCATAAACTAGCAGTGAGATCGTGGGATGGAGGTTCATTGGATGCACCCCATCTCCCTGTCCTGAGTCCTCAGCGCTCTTAGATCACGTGAGCCTGAATGTCATAGCATTTCTCCCATCTCCCAGCGGAGACAAGTGTGGGAAGGAGATTCACAGCTGGTGTGCTGTCAGACTCACAGCCTGCGATGCAGTTGGCTTCACAAGGGACCCCAGGCCCAGGTCCCTCAGGAGGGACGGAAGGTGGCCTGTTCCTGTGACTTTAGGGGGAACGCCCCCTTCTCCCATGCTCTGCAGGCTCCTGGGAGCTCAGACCTGGTGCTCTTGGGAATGCACAGTGGCAATATTTTTATTTTTATATGTTTTTATTGATTTCAGAGAAAGGAGAAGGGAGAGGGAGAGAGAGAAACATCCATGTGAAAGAGAAACATCAATTGACTGTCTCCTGCACACCTCCTACTGGGGATCAAGCCCACAACTCAGGCATGTGCCCTTACCTAGAATTTAACCATGACCTCCTGGTTCATGGGATGGCGACACCCAACCGACTGAGCCACACTGACCAGGGCAGTGGTGACATTTCCACAAGGACGTTCGAGACGCAGGTGAAAGCGGCCTTTCCCACCTTTGGCTCATATGTGAGAAGCCCTTCTATTTTTCCCGCTTTTGTGGTATCTGGAGAAGAAAAGTGTGTTCCCGTGTGCCCTTTACTGCTAAGTTGACTTGATTTGAGTGTCAGGAATTCTGTCTCAGGAACAAGTGAGCCGGATGGGAGGCCGCAGGTTAATGGTATGTACTTTGGCTGCCAACCCAATTGCGGAAATGATCGATCACTGGGCGTTGGATCTGTTTGCAAATAAAGAGTGATGGAGGCGTTTCTGACGAGGAGCTGCGTTCTGTCCTGGCCCCACGCCTTCATGCAGTGGCCTCGTCAGGGAGGTGGGGACCCCGCCAGCCGGTACTCCACACTGCCTGTCGCTTTCTGTCCCAGGATGCAGAGCTCTCTGCACCTCGTCCCAGTCGGCTGTGTTTGTAGAGCCCGCTGCTGCTATCAGGGCTGCACTGCAAAAGGAAACGGGGGTCGGGGTGTGACCGCTCATCACAGGAGCAGGCTGTCATAGAGGCCAGCACTGGCTGAGTTGCTTTGCCAACACTTGTTTTCACCAGAGGAGCAGGTTTCATCTGCCATGGGCACTAATTCCTGCCCATGCCCAGGTGGGTGGGGCTCCAGGCCAAAGCCGTCTCAGAGACAGTCCCCTGCCACGTTCCATGTTCATACGGAGCAGGCACCTCCTGTGCGGCTGCCCAGTTCTGTTTCTGGTCCTCACCCAGCCTCCCAGAGCCCCGAGGGGCTCAGCGCTGTGGGCGATGCAGACTTCTCCACTGTCGATGCCCTGCGAGGTTGTACCACGGAGGAGGGCGGAGGGCTCCTGCCTGCAATGACCGGACTGCAATGCGCTTAATGGGGAATTCATAAGCACTCTTTGACAGTCAGGTTTATAAATATGTAAAAAAGTATTTTAATTGTTTTTAGCAAAACAGGCAAGGAGTCAATATTCTCAGATGCGTCAAACACAGTGTTGACAGGTCCTGTGGCCGGAGGACCCGGAGAGCAGGCCCGGGCGCATTTCTATGCAGACTTTGTCGTGACCGTGATAAATGAGGGCCCTGAACCGTATTGATAGAGTAGGTTAAACATTGGGAAAGTTAGCTGAACTTTGACTTTAAATATTCATTACAGCTAATTATGGATTTTCCGACTCTATGAATTACAGTTTCCATACCTGCGTTGGCAATGTATTTTCCATTTATTTCTTGTAAGCTTCATGATTCTATATCAGCTGTATCACATTCAATGAGGTACTGGTTTAAATGTTCACCATGACATTTATTTACTTACACTGTTTCAGTGCGTTCTGCCCGGAGCAAATTAAGACATCCTGCGGAAAGGCGATGATGTCAGGCCATGAGGTGGCATGGGCACAGCCTCTTGCTGCTTCCCTGGCCCACAGGCTGCATGTCCCCCTGTCTGTCTACATGGTGGGGCAGAAGTGAGATACCTGATGGCACCTCTGTGGAGGAAATGCCGCTGGCAGCTGGCTCCTGGGCCGGGACTCCTGGTGTTCGAGTCACAGATCTCCATGATGTGACTCAGTTGCAAGGCGCGCACCTTTAATTCTAGTTCAGAGCATTTTGTTCATCGCTCTGGGCTGTGTTAGAAATATCCGCCGACAGGTCTCTCACCTGATCTCTCTTTTGCTCCACAGGCTCTTGGAAGCTTTTATTTTCTTCACGAATCCTTAAAAAACATCTACCAGTTTGACTTCAAAGGTAAGACTCTGATGTCAATTGTCTAGAATCCTTCTGGGGTTTCCTGTCTCAGCAGACTTCCCACCCCCTGCCCGGTGTCCCTGTGGACTGGTGTCGTCTCGGTTATGTCACTTCTGGCAGTCACTAACCAGGATCTCGTATGAAACCTGGCTTTCTGGCTGCACTAAAATCAGGACAGCTGGCCTGCGTCCCCCTAGCCCAGCCAGCTCACCCCCTCGCCCACCTTGCCACCCCTCTGCTCCCAGGGCTTGGCAAGCCATGAAGCCTCAACTCCAGTAGAGCCTGAGAAGGGAAAGGCTCCGTCTGCATCTGTTCCCCTATAAGATGTGCAAAGTGGAAACAGAACGAGATGATGGCTTATCCCAAAATGACGAGTGAGAGCCTGTTTGTGGCCAAGTGGGAAACGTGGTCCCCTGTTGACCGGGCAGGCACCACCTGGCTGTGCTGGGAAGATTCTCCCTGAGCTGTCTCTGACGTCACAGGCTTGTCACTGTGCCTTGGGGCACCGGAGGCCGTTACCCCAGATCTGACAACTTTCAGTATCGCCCGTTCCATTGGGCATGTTGGTCCCTTTGTCTTCCACTCAGTGTTACATCCTCAGGTTCTGTGTAAATTCTGCAGCGCTCCATTTAGGCTAGCGAGCCAGATCACATTCATTTGAAATGTCATTAAAGTTGTAATAACTGTGGAGAGCCACTAATTATGTCAGTGTCTCCGATTCATTATCTTTGCTCATTTGGGAGACAGATTACCCCTTAGGAAACGGAGAGCAGTCTCCTAACGGTGCGAGCAGTGCTCTGGTCCAGCTGAGAGCAGGACTCGGCCAGCCGGGCTTCACTGGCCCTGCCGCCTGAGGAGCCTCTACAAGCTTTTAAATGAGCATCTAACTTCCCACAGTTGCCTCTGACTACAGTCTTCATGGGCACTGGCACCCGGGTATCCTGTTATTGACAGGGGAGTAGTGAGGAGGTCCCAGTGGGGCTGGCAGCAGAGGGGGTGATGCTGGTCACCTGTACCGATCTGTTGAACTGGTCCTTTTGTTAAGTAATCATTTGCATACATATTTTACTACTGAATCTGATCAGTCAGGAAGTATAAGAGGAGGAATAAATGAAGATAAAATAAAGTACCTTATTTTTTACTTTGTACTAATCTAACAGATAACTTTAGTTCTAAGTATTATAGCAACAATGTATTGAGTGACAATAGCTATTGGATAAGGGAAGTGAATGATAGAAATGTTATAAGGGCTGGGGGAGGAATTGGATGACTGGTTATAAAGACCCCGCACTGTTTGTGAAGATGTATAATGTTATTTGAAAATGGACTTTTATTCATTGTAGATGATTATTGCAAACTCTTTGACAATCACTAAAATGTCTTTAATGAAATATAACTAATAGAGTAAAAGAAAAAAGTTGAAACATATAAAATGTTTAATTTAACCAGAGAAGGCAGAAAAAGAGTGGAAGACAAAAAGAAACAAAGAATAAAGGCCATAAGTAAAAAAGCTATAAATATGGAAGGTATGAGTTCAACTACATCAATAATTACTTTACATGGGAATGGTCTACATACACCAATTAAAAGACATTGTCAGAGTGATTAAAAAAAAAAAAAAGAACAAGATCCAACTATTGTCTACTAGAAACCCACTTATAGATAGATAGATAGATAGATAGATAGATAGATAGATAGATAGATAAAAGTAAAGGAAGGCTAGAAAAAATATACTCTAACACTTAGTAAAAAGAAAGCAGAGTGGTAATATGAACTTCAGACAGACAGACTTCAGAGCACAGAAAGTTATCAGGGATAAAGAGGGGCTTTACATCATGGTCAAGGGATTAATTCCCCAAAAAGACATGATAATCCTGAATGTGTATACACCTAACAACAGAGCATCAAATGCATGAAGCAAAAACTGGTAGAACTACAACAAGAACCAGATGGGTCCACTCTCATAGCTGGAGGCTGGAACACCCCTCATTCACAGATGGACAGCCCAGCAAGCAAGCCATCAGTGAACCATCAGACAGAGTTGAACTCAGCAGTACCATCAATCACCTGGTCTAATGGACATTTATAGAATAATCCGTTCAACAACAGCAGAATGCATTCTTCTCAAGTCAGCCGGAATACTCACCAAGACAGACCACATTCTAGTCTGTAAAACACACCTCAACAAATTTAAAAGAAAAGAAACACAGCCCACAATGGAATTAAGCTAGAAATCAATAACAGAAAGATAACTGGTTAACTCCCAAATATGTGGGACATTAAACATCTCACTCCTAAATAACATACTGGGTCAAAGAAGAAGTCTCAAGAGAAATTTTAAAAATATTTTGAACTAAATGAAAGTGAAAGCACAACTTACCAAAATTGTAGGATGTAGTGAAAACAGTGCATTGGTAGCAGCAAGTGCATATATTAAAAAAAGAAAAAAAGATGTAGAATCAATAATCTAAGCTTCTGCCTTAGGAAACTAGAAGAAGGGCAAATTAAATCCAAAGTAGGCGTAAGAAAAGAAATGATGAACATTAGAGAATAAATCAATGAAATTGAAAACAGGAGCTCAGTAAAGAAAATCAACAAAACCAGAAGCTGATTCTTTGAAAAGATCAATAAAATTGATAAACCTCTAGCCAGCTAACCAATGAAAACAAGACAAATTACTAATATTAGAATGGAAAGAGGAGCCATCACTACTGATCCTATAGACATTAAAGGATAATAAAGGTATCTTATGAACAAGTCTATGCCTATAAATTTGATAATTTAAATGGACCGGTTCTTTTAAATATATACTCTACCAAAACTCATACAAAGAGGACTAGATAATCTGAACAGGTCTTTATGTATTAGAGAAATGGAATCAATAATTAGTAACCTTTAAAAAAGAAAGCATTAGGATCAGATGATTTCACTAGTGAATCCAACCAAACATTTAAAGAAGAAATCATACCAATTTTCTACAATCTCTTCCAGATAATAGAAGCAAGGAAATACTTCCTAACTCATTCTGTGAGGCCAGCATTACCCTAATACCAAAAACCAGATAAAAAAACATTACAAAAAAGGAAAACTACAGACTAATATCTATCATGAATATAAAATGTAGAAATTCTAAACACAAATTAGCAACTAGAATCCAACAAGACATAAGAAAATTATACACAATAACTAATTGATATTTATTCCAGACTGGTTCAACATTCAGAAATAAATGAATGTAATCTACCACACCAGCAGCCTAACAAATCACATGATCATATTAATAGATGTGGGAAAGCATTTGACAAAATTCAATACCCATGTTTAATAAAAATTCTCAGCAAACTAAGAATAGAGGGGACTTAACTCAACTTGATAAAGCTACAATGCCTACCACTAACGTAAGATTTAATAGTGAGAACCTAGGTGCTTTCCCCCTGGGTCAGGAACAAGGTGAGGATGGCCCCTCTCACCATAGCTCTGCAACACCATCCTGGCATCTCAGCTAATGCAGTAAGACAGGAAAATGAAATAAAAGGCTTATTGATTGGAGAGACAGTGGAAAAATTGCCTTTGTCTCAGATGACATGATTATCTCTGTAGAAAACCCCAAGGAATCAACCTCAACAAAACTGTACTAATAAGCAAGGCTGTCGGACCAAGGTTAAATACAACACAATAGTCTTTCAAAGTCTGTTCAGTGCAGGGTTCCTCCAAAACTGAGTCCTAGGCAGATGCCCACCAAACAGGCACCACCAGGCGTCCGCCTGTGCAGCATGGACTGGCGGCCCTGGTGGCTCCCGTGATGGCTGGAGCTTTGCTAGGAGGAGTCCTGCACCTGAACAGACATAGAGAAAGAATGTTCTTCCTTATCCCCAGACAGGCGAGCTGTGCCCTGACTGTTAACCGAGGGGCCTCAGGAAAGAGCAGCGTGTGGCTGGCTCCTCATGGTGAGGAATGGCGTGCATGTGTTTGGTGCTGGCGTGCACAGTGCCACCCAGGTCAGCGAGATCCCACAGCCCTGTGGCCAGCCCTCCCAGCGTGACAGCAGCAGCTGTGTCACTGTGCAGGTGACTGTCCGGGAGGAGCAGGAATGATCTTAGATCTGGGCAGAGGGCAGAGCTGCTGCCAGGGCTGGAGCTTCGAGGCCCCTCAGTTCTCCAGACCGGCCGAGATTCAGCCCTACCCGTCTCCCGTTTCCCATCCTTGCTGCTGGTGCTCATGCTCATTTCTCGGACAGGCCCTCTCCCCGCCCTGGCAGAGTTCCCCTTCCTCCTTCCCCGCCATCTGGCTCTTCCATCAACCCCACGCTCTGCCTCGCCTCTCCCTGTGGCCACACTTAGAGGCTCTGTTTCCCCTGCCACGTCCCAAGAGGCCCAGGCAACGTCCTGTGTTTGTGTCCCGTGCCCTTACTCGTGTGCATCCCTATGTCCTGTGCCCGGGTTCACTTGCATGTCCCATCTCCATGTACCATGTCTGTGTCCGTATCCATGTTCTCAGGGCTACTGGGAGGTCTAAGCCATGGAAAGGCCCTGTGGGGAGATGGATCAGAAAGCCCGCAGCATAGGCAGAATCTGTAAGAATTGCTACATCGCTGGTGGGACACCGGTTCTCCCTGGGGCATTAGCCCCCACTTCTGTGTCTGCTACCTGGGCAGGTCTCCCTTCAACCTCCTCAGAACGATGATGGCTGCATGGGGTTGATGTTTGATAAATGCTATCCTTCTGCAGAGATGGATGGGTGGTTCCAGTAATTGCTTTGGTGATTAAACGCCCTTCTGCGCATACCAGGGGCAAATGGGTATGGTGGACTGGTCCTTGTTTGCTCACACAGGCCTGTGCCCTCCTGCCCCCGGGTACCTGCCTCTGGCTAACTGGGTCCATCTCCCTCTGAAGCCTTCCCAGGGGATGGCGATGCGCTGCAGGACCTTGAGGGACCAGGGACACAGCAGGCACAGCCCAGCACTTGGGGAGCAGCTCACTTCCACCTGCCCTGCTCTTAGTTCCCTCAGTCACTGAGTATCTAGAATAGGTTGCACCCAGGCTCCTGCTTTGGCCCCTCGGAGTCCCCACCCCTAGTGCTTTGCTCTTGCCTGGGTTCACGCTCCACAGAATGCTGCCTCAAGTCCCTGCCTCCTGCCTCATCCCTGCTGCTCCACCACATCAGTGGGTCCATGGGCGGGATGGGGCTCCAGAAACGACAGATGAGAGCAGCTTGGGGGGCTCGGAGCATGACCCTCAGGAACTCGGACAGCAGACCTGGTCATTGTTGGCCTCCAGGAATCTCCTAAAAGCCCAGAGACATCCACTGTGTCGGGCCTTCCCGGAGAGAGGAGCACGTGTGTGGACCGACAGGCCTCTCTGCTGCAGTCGTGGCGGGCCTGCATGTGGTGGTCTTGGTGGGCCCACGTGCAGCCGCACTTTCTACAGGGCATCCTGAGCGGAGGCGGGCATCCCTTCACTAGCCCGGGCCTGAGACTTTGAGGAGCATATTCATATGTTTCTTCACCAAACCCCCCCCCCCCCCCATGGCGTGGGGTTACCATCCGTGAAAAGAAGCGCGCAGGTCCTGATGTGAGAGAACCAGGCCAAGCCCTGTCTGCAGGGGTCAGCCCAGGTGGGGGTGGCCCGGCAGGACATCTCGCCCAGTGAGGTGGTGGGCAGGTGGCTAGGAGCTTGGTCTGTGTGTCCTCCTCTCTCCATCTCACATAAAAACCCCTCGTCCTTGCACATGAGTGATGTTGGCTGGATGTGGAGGGAATCAGTGTTATTAAGTAAATTTGTATGAAGGTATGAGTGAACGGTGATTCCACGGCCCTCTTAAACATACTCCCGGTGTTAACGGAGGATGCCACGTAGCCCCGGTAAGTCTGCAGCTGCGAGTGTTAGTGGATAATGAAGTGGAGAGTCAGACCCCAGGTGGCTGGCCAGCAATTTACGAGTCACAGTATCCCCGAGAGCAGCTAGCCTGCTGGGTCGGTCCCCCCGGCCTGGTCCCCCTCATCACTCCGTGCTCCCCACAGGGCTCATGGGTGGGACACGGGGTCCCCCAGAGTGTGGCCGGTTGGATGGGATGTAGTGACATGGTTATTCACATTGTTCATCTGCTCTTTTCCAGCTAAGAAGTATAAAAAAGTCACTGGCAAAGAGATCTACTCAGACACGTTGGAGAGCACGCCCATGCTGGAGAAAGAGAAGTTCCCTCAGGACTACTTCCCCGAGGTGCGTCCGAGCCCCTGCCACTTTCTCCCAAAGCACTTACTTTCCAGGGGGGTCACGTGAGAAGGGGCATTTAGGACTTGGGGTCTTCCTATCATGGTAGGGATCACATCTCTGCTGCCACGCCCCCATGTTCTCTTTCTGGGAGTGTGAAGTGTGCGTGGGTTCATGGGTGGTCTTAGGTAAGAGCTGAGAGAATCCGCAATGTTCATTGTTCTAACAACTGGCGAATTTTCTAATCCCTATTTTCTGAGAGAGGAACCATCCCCAGCGATGCAGGAAAATGATTATCGGTTCAATCTGGCCATGACCTACTCGACCTTCATAGCTATGCTGTGCCAGGCAAGTGACACACGGGGCATGTTCCTGAGAGAGACACGGCCGAGAGCCCTCCCGGTCCCAGACAGTGGCTGCTTCATACAGATCAGAGGTTAAGGAGAGTGTGGGATTATTTACCACCCACAGCTCAGACTCAGTCAGAAAATGCTGATGTCTTTCCTGTGGGTTTTGCGGCATCTTGTGTCACTTTGTTATTTTTATGCGTATTGCACTGCACATACCATTTTGGATCCTGTGTCTTTAGTCGACATTATAAGCAGCACTTTGGAGCCTCCTAATCCTGTGTCCTCACGTGTTGACCCAGAGTTGGTCACCTGTCCTTTATCTCCTATTAACTGGGGCCGGATGCGGTGCTGATTGAAGCCTTCAGGAGAGATGGAGGCCTGGGCGCCCGCCTCCCTGACAGAGGTGTGCTCAGCCGCAAGAAGGATTGCCTCCAGTCCCTTCTGGGTGAGGACTGCCGCTGCTCAGCAGACGCCCCACCTGCGCTCCCAGCTGATCTTCAGCAAGGCCACAACTTTATTAACTTGTTTTATGACCTGAGCCTGCAGTGAAGGAATTGTGGCTGCCTCCGTAAAGGATGGCCCTCTTGTCACGCCAGGGCACGGCTTCCTCATCCATTGTCCCGAGCCAAGGACGCAGTGTCAGAGGCCTGGCCTCCCGGCCTGGCTGCTCCGCCTGAGGCTGGAGGAAGGCATGCCCGAAAGCTCTGGAAGCTTCAGTTCTGGACCTTCCCTGAGCACAGCCGATGCTGTGGCTCCTGGGATGCTCCCTGAATGCTGGCCATGGTGGGTCCTGTCAGGAAGGTGGGACCATGGTTCCCTTGGGGATGTCAAGGGGCAAGAAGCGGGTTTCAGGATCCAATTTTTGCTAAACTCCCAGGCCCTGTCTCATTCCACACTCAGCTTTGCTTACCTGGAGTCCAACATGGATGAGACAGTAGGTCATGGCCAGACTGAACCAATAATCAGACAGGGCCTGGGACTCTTGCCTGAGGGTGACCAGGGGCCACAGGGGCACCGGTGGGGCCTCAGCCTCCTCCCAGCAGGAGAATGAGCTTGGCTAGGGCCTCTAGGGCGGCTGGGGCTCAGCCCGGAGCTGGGCATGCTTGGCAGTGTCCAGGGTCCTGACCCAACACCCACAAGTGGGAAGCCCTCACCCCTCTCTGTCTTGGTTATGGCACCACTGCCCATGTGAGGCTGAGATGGGACCTGGGTCGTCCTAGCTCTTCTGTTCTTATCCTGGGGTCCAGTCCCACCCCAGAGGGGCACTCCCCCCACCTAGGGTGGCTGAGGTTCCCCAGAGGAGACCTGGGAGAGGAGGCAGGCTACAGGGGTGCCCTTGGGCTGGACACGCCCAGGTCAGTGCTGGGGCTAGGCAGCAGGGCTGGCCGGAGTGATCCTGTGATGGCGGTGGGCAGTGCTAGACAGGGGGCTGGTGTGGTAATGATTGCAGCCAGTGTTGGGGAGGCCTTTGCCCCTGCCTCCCCCAGGAATAAGGCTTCTCCCCAGGAACCCAGCTCCTCCAGGGGAGCCACCCAGGCTCGGGGAGTAGAAACCGGAGCTCAGGTTGATGGTGTGACTGTACTGAGAGCGCCGGCACCTCCTAGGTCCTGTGAGTGACGAGGCACTTTGAGGTGTTCCCAGCTTCCATAGGCTCTGCGTCTTAGTGGAAGGTGGTTCGTACTGGCTGGGCACCTGGGCGCCACGTCAGTGTGGCTGGTGTGGGAGGCATGCGCTGTGGCGGCAGCTGTTGCCTGCTCCTCCCTGTTCTGTGCCTTCAGGCCCGTCTTCCCGCTTTATTTGCACACATTTTGGGGGAGGGAATTAGTTTAAGACAGATTTCCGTTTCTTTTATTACCATCACTTAAGGATAATCTAAATGTAATTACCATGATGGAGGCAATTCCAAATAATTACAGCCCCTGCATATAAAGCTCACAAAACTTTCCCGCTGATTTATGGCGGCTTTGGCTCAGCATGACTTTCAGATGCTGCCTCTGGGAGCAGCACTCCAGATAATGTGAGGCCATTTTTAAAAAGCAGATTTGTGTAGTCGATCAGGGCTGAGGCATTTTTTTCCTCTGGCCCGTAGTGAGAAATTGGTTGTTACCATAGATCACAGGCCCGCTCCTGGCTCTTATGAAAGATGAATTAATTTCACTAATGCTCCGAAGCGGGCCTTTCACGGGGAGGCTGTGTGGCGAGGGCCTTCCCGCAGCCTCCCTTTCTCACTGGTGATTTATGCCGTCTTTTAGTAGATGAAACCGCCTGTATTTGCCATCCATCTGCTGCCTAAAGGAATCCTATTAACAGGGGATCTGAGCAGAGACTTAATATTGTAAGGTGAACGACATGGCAGCTCCCTCTCCCCGTCCGGGCATGACGTGGCTTCCACTTCATGGTGATAACCTCAAAGTTTATCACCCCAGCCAGTGCTGTCCACCCCAGCCGCTGCTGTCCCCGGCCACCGTCACCTCCATGGGATTTCAGAGGGTGGCCAGTGACCAGATTAGCACACAGACTGGCCCCAGATCGACTCCCATTCCGAGAAGTGATGGAGGCTGGAGGCCATGTCCTTGAGGTGCCCCCACATTCCAGAGTTGGGTCCAAAGTCAGAGAAGGGTGGGGAGGGGCAAGAAGGAGGACGGGCAGCCAGCTGGAGCCTCTGGGTGCAGGAGCCAGTGGTTAGGAACAGCCTTGCAGAGTCACCGCTGAGTTGACACATCCCAGGACCTGCCTTCCCACTGAGATAGAAAGAGCGGCCTGGGGTAGAAAGTGAATCAGCAGCTCTCCAGGATGGGCCAGTCAGTGGGTACATGTCAAGGTCCCTCTCCCTACCAAGCAAGGTGGTGGTTATATTCTGGAAAGAAGCCCCTGTCTCTGCTCTGACACTAGTAGGCATGGGCCCCACAAGGTTAAGATGGATCTGTCCCCACCCACATCCCAGCTGACTCCTGCCCTGGGCTGGGGAGGGGTGAGAGCACTAGCCACAGAATTCCTGATTCCAGCTTCTCCCACTCACTTGCTCTGTGACCTTGAGCAAGTTCTTAACCTCCAAGTCTCAGTTTCCCGGTCTGCAAAATGGGCACTGGTGGTGCCCTTCCTGTGGCTGATGTGAGCTTCAGGCGCTGGTCTGTCAGTGGCTGGGCACAGGCTGCTGCCCGTCAGGCATACGGGGCTGGGTGGTGCTCACAGACACTGCTTGAGCACCTTACACAGTCACTGGCAATAAGGTTCTAAAGTAGATGTGGTCAAATCGGTGACTCAGAGGGATTATTAGTTCATCTAGAACATAGCCAAGAGACATACGATTTAGGCTTGAAGAGAGGGCTCTAGGCAGAGGGCTGGCCATGGCAGAATTGGGAGCCTGGGTTGAGATGTTGCGTATGAAGTTTGGTCGTCAGGGGAAGTAAGGAAATCGGTGGGACAGTAGCTGCAGGGTCTGTGGGGTGGCAGGAGAGCCTGGCACTGTGTTATTTGGAACATGAAGAGGTCAGTCACTGCAGTCTGTGCCCGCACTCACGCAGGGAGCACTTCATCACCACCGACTTTGGTTCCCATGTATTACCTTCGTTCTTGCAAGCCCAGGCCTACATTCACAGACGGAGTCCTGGCCTCCCACCATTGCCTGACCCTGGGGCACACCTCCTCCCCCTGCTCTGTCCCTCAACTGACCCAGGTGACTGTGCACCAAGTCCCAGGCCCCTGCTGGGAGTATCAGAGGGAACGGGACAGTCTCAATCACACGTTTCAACATGGTGTTTGTGAGCTGAGGACTCAGCAAGATCTCCCGTGTCTCCTGGGAGCTTGTAAGGGGTGCTGGCAGGAGCCCCCCTCTCCCAGCTGCTTAGGCTGTGAAGTGACCCTGTGAGTGTTCTATTGAAATTAAAATTCATTAAGGTAAAATGACTGCGTTTTCAGTGCTCAGCGACCCGGGGTGGCCACTGGCTCCTGCATGGACAGTGACACCTATTTCTGTCATCGCAGCTGCATCCACCCTTCCTTGCCCTGCCTAGGCACGAGTGGACCACAGAGGTGACCTGAGATTGACAGCAGCTGTGGAAGGCAACATGGGTCCCGCCCCCACATGCCCCATCCCCCATCCCCACCCTCCCAGGTCAGGAACCAACAAGGGAGGAATGTGGGGCACCAGTGACTGTTGTCCCAGCTTCTCCAACAAGGTGACCTGGAGGGAGGGAGAATGAAGCAGAGGTGAGCGTGGTTCTTTGTTAGCCACCCTCCTCTGATGACCAGGCTGTGCTCTCCCAAGGCAGGTCCAGGCCCCGAGTTGGTGCCTCAAGGGGGTGTCTCTCAGAGGGGCCTTTGAGGGCCACGCACCAGTGTCTGGGACGTCTTTGTGGTACGCTGCTCCGGTGTGCATGGCTCAGCAGCGCACCCTCATTTGACCGGGGCCCACTTGGTTCCCTAATAGCTCTGGGCTGGGGATGGGTTTTAACAGATGGTGGTGGCCGTGCGTGTTTGTGCCTGCTCACCCGCACACTGAGCTGTGTGTGCGCGCTTGGCCTGCACAGAGAGTGGCCTCTCAGCCCTTGTGAGCTGAAAGGTTAACGTGTTCTCTGACTGAGAAGCCTCCGATGCACCCGTGTGCGGCAGTGTCTCCCTCCTTCCTCTTTTCCCGCTTATCTTGTGACCTGTTTATTTTTCAGTGCAAATGGTCAAGAAAAGGCTTTGTTCGAACAAGATGGTGCGTCGCGGACTGGTATGTTCCTCGTGTTGACTGTTCGTCTCTGCTTCATGGAGTTCCCTCCTTTGTGTTTTGCACAAGTGGTGTGCCAAACGTCCCTCAGAGGCCTTTGTCTCTGAGTCTCCTTCTCTGTCTCTGCAGCGCCTTTGACTTGGTGAACATCCACCTTTTCCATGACGCCTCCAATCTGGTCGCTTGGGAGACCAGCCCCTCCGTGTACGCGGGCATCCGGCACAAGGCCCTGGGCTACGTGCTCGACAGGTAGGTGCTGTGTGCGCGGCCCCACCGCCCAGGACTGTACAGCTTGCTCTTTTAAGCCACTTACTTTTCAGTCTCGCTTTTCCGTTTGCCAGAAATATGAAACTTGCTAATGTTGACCCGTTGAATAGCACAAATCCCAACCCCTGTCCCAAGGCGCCAGCAATCCCTCCCAGGCGGCCTTAGGGTGAGTGGCCTCATGCTTTCTCTTCAGTTTTGTGGGAAAGCTAAGAAAATGAGCCAGGGCTATAGCAGAAGTAGAACCGGTCTGGGGCACCTTGGAGTCTGAGAATTACTTCTTGGCTCTGGGTTCTCCCAGCAGGAGGCGGTGCCTCTCAGTGACTCCGCCCAACTGCCAATCCTGGAGGTTAGGGGCTGGGTCCCTTGAGCACCAGGCTGTGCACAGTCTGCTCAGCAAGGCCGAGCCACCGAGCGCCTCCCTCCACATTCTGCCCTCACAGTCCACCCACAGAGCCTGGGCTTGCGCCTCTGGGGAGGGCAGGGGTGCAGCCAGGGGTCTTCAGAGCAGGGAAGCTGCCCCTGCCTCCTGATGGAGCTCCCAGCAGCTTGTCCTCACTCCCTCTCGCAGGTGGTTTTTCAGGACCCTCTGGTCCTGGACTCCGTGGGGCCCTCCTCTGGCTCTGGCTGTCTTGTGTGACCTTTCACAGGATCCGAGTTGAAGGGTGTCATTGGGGAAGAAGATGTCCCCTCAGACTCAATTGCTAGGTTAGGTTTGGTTTGGGAACCAGAGTCCCTCTTGATTCAAAGAGAGGCCTCGAAGCCTCGTCCCAGGGCTGCTCTCCTGCTGCTCATCCTGCCCAGGCCTCAGCGAGTCTCGCCCACCAGCGTCCCGCCACCTAGGTGGCAGTCAGAGATCCACTCAGGCTTGGGACAGCCGCTACCACAGCTCAGTCCTCTCCCCTTTCTGCCTGGCAATCCAGGTTTCTCCAGGACTCCACCCTGTGCAACACTGCTTACATCAGAGCAGGAAGGACTGCGGCTCTCCTGCTCGTTGGCCCTGTGTCACCAACTAACCTCTTTTGGGCACTGCGTCTGGACCCTGACCTTTTGACCCCTCCTGCGTGCACCAGGGTCCCCTCTGGGCTTCCTCCCAGCGTGGGCCGGGGTCCCTCCCTGCAGGTTCCTTCCTTCTGGGTTCCTCTCAGCAGGATGTACCCTCCACAAGGGTTGGAAGGTGGGGTTCTGTCCCTTGCTGCCATGTGTGATGGTGGTGGTACTTCACCTGAGGCCCACACTCTATCCAAGCAGCCAGGCCCCTGCTGCAACCTGCTCGGCCCACACAGAGGAGGCAGGAGTGCAGGATGCAGGATCTGGTTGTCCTGCCCACCCACGGCCGGCCCTCTCAAACCAAATGCAGCCTCCAGGTGTGTCCAGACTGGGCTCGGAGGTGGGGTGACCCGAGGTGAGGAAGGGCCAGAGCAGACCTAGGCCCAGATCTGAGTTCCTCGCCTGCCTCCAGAGCTGTGACCTCAGCCACAGGGCCATGGGGCCCGTTGCTTGGTCCGTGTGCTGACCCAGGGCCACCTGTGACAGGGCTCCCGTGTCCCTGGGCTGGGGCATGACATCCTTTGGCTAGCTCGTCCAGGAGTCCTTTGTTGCCTGTTCTCACCCAGCGGGCTCTGGAGCTCCTCCACCACGCAGGCTCCAGTGCTGCTGAGTCTGTGCTGAGGCCCCAGGGAATCAAAAACCTGCGCTGCCTGGAGCAGGTTCTCGCTGCACACTGACCTGACAACTGGCATGGAACAGTGTCGTGATTCAGGAGGTGGCAAAGATGGCAGGGTGTGCGGTGACATCAGGCACAGGGGAGCCACCCTGAGAGCGTTTCCTCGCAGTGACTGAAGCTGGCCTCCCCGAGAGCTGCCAGGCCAGGGCCCTGTGGGCAGAGCCACCATGCCTGGGACAGCGAGCCCATGGCCAGGAACAAGGACCTCGTTGGGGAACTGCTGTGTGCGGTCTCTGGCTGACAGGTTCTGGGGGCTGCACGACTCACTGGGACCTCCCATGGAGCGGGGCTGAGGCACACCGTGAGCAGTCTGCTTTGGTGACCGTGGTCAGCTTGTCAGGGGGGTGTGGCATTAAACTGTGTCATTGCCCCAAACGGCCGTTACCCTGCATCCTCGGGGAAAACAGCCTTAGGGTTTTGGCACTTTCCTGTGGCTTTGCATTCCCACGAATCACTTGTGTGGGGGCTCGGCCGGCCGCAGATCCGGCCTCTGCGCGCAGCACAAAGGGCGGCTCTGTAGGAGTGTGAATACCGGGCCGCCCTTTCATCGGGGCTGCTAACCTTTTGGCAGCCACCAGCAGACTGCATTCTGCTCTGCTGATCGGGAGGACAATGCCATGCCGGCCCTTTGAATGGATGCTGCCACCAACAGTGCCCCATTCACTCTTTGGGAACCTCTGGGTGCATTGTCTGTAGGCTCCGAGAGGCAAGCCTGCCTTCTTGGCTTAATCTCCAAGTTTTGTGGGTCCACGTTTCCATGAGCTGGTGCCATCAGACCTGGGGAAGGTGCATCGGCCTGAAGCCCCCGGTTGCTGTGGGACCCTATGTTAAAGCAGAGGCAGCCAGGGCTATGTTTGCAACCTTTCTGTAAATCTAAAGCTTATTATAAAATGGAGAGTTTGTGTTCAGACGTGTTTAACCTCCCAGCAGTGCCAGGCATGCATGCCTCTGGCCCCTGGGCCTCCGGGCCATCATACGCAAGCGTGGACCCAGAGCACCCCTCCCTCCAGCCAGCCGATTGGGAAGGGTTCCTACTGGAAATGTGAAGACAGGGTTTTCAATGTTCAAGTGCAGATAGGAAGTTCCTCGGGGCTGTTTTATTACAAATAATAATCTTGCTTTTAGTGCAGTTTAATTTTTTGCTTTTAATCTCTTGTTATGAAACTTTTAAAAAGAAGACAAACCCCCGATTAATGAAGAGCATCGGGCTGGCACTGGAGGTGTGGGGCTCCGGGGATGTGGGACCTGTGTTGTCCTGGGGTCCCCTCTGGCCCTGCACCAGCCTGCCTGCCTCCCGGACACACGGTTAAGCTCGCTGGGGAGCATTTGGGGGATTAAACAGGAGCAGAGACCTCAGCCAGCGTCCCTCCCGGGGCTGAGACTTCCTGACACCTCCTGGAGCTTTCGGCCGTGAAATGAGATTTTTTTTTTTTCCACAAGTGAGAGGGCTCTTCTGTCTCCCCTTTGAGCTGTGGCCTGGCCTAGTTCAACAGAAACATTTTTACATTACAACTGTGAAATCTTGGCATAAAGCGCCCCTTTGTCCCCTCCATTATTTTCTCACAAATACAGTCCATTGTCACCGCGCTGAAGTTAATTTGATCAACATTGGGACATTTAACTTTTATGTCCGGTCAAAAGAGTTGTTTCATGCTCATTTTGGGCATTCAAAGGAGATGATGGCCAGAAAAATAATGTTGCCCTGAACAATTCAGGGCAATTAGTTTCCCAGGGAGAGGTGATGTGATGCCGGCCGCCCACGGCCCCCTTTGTCATCCCAGGGCCGGTCATCAGTCAGCTGTCAGCCTGCTCAAAGGCCCTCCACCCTGAATGTGTCTCTTCAAGCCGTTCCCAGAACTCGCTGTTGGCGAGCAAAAGAGAGGCGCTGGTGTCCAGGCTGAGGCAGGTCCCGCAGACCTGGACGCTGGACACTGGACGCTGGACGCTGGGCGTTCATTCCCGCCACCTGACTTCTTGGTTATAAACACATCTGTCCACTCAGCCTGGAAGCCTGGGTGGCTGTTGTTATGTCTGTTTGGAGCCACACAGGCGAGGGCCCACCACACGGCGTTCTCAGGGCGTCAGGCAGGATCACGCCCAGTTAGGACACGTGAAGTCCACTTGCATCCCAACAAATGAGCTGGCCGTTCTACATCTCGGATGATAGATGGTATCTGTAATCTATCCTTCAATTTATTTATTGAAAATGGGGAGGCTCTGGTGACAGCCACACACCCTCCACTCAGCTCCGTTAGGTTTACACCTCCGCATTTGTGTCACGTGTCCTTTTGCTAGGAAGTGAAATATGGATGCCATCTCTATGTTCTCCATCCTGAATCGTTGTCCTGCCCCCTCCCCCTCACCATCTTGATTTAGTACCTGTCCTTCCGTGGCCACATTGCTGTACTGCTGGCATGCGTGAGCACATGTGCACGTTGGCTTGTCTGCGTTTTCATCAGCACGGGTATCGCAAATGCTGGCGTGCTGAGCACCTGCTCCGCAGGCACTCCTGGCTCGACCCTGTCCCTGCTCCCGGGCCACTCCCTCTGCAGGCATTGCTTTGGGCTGTTCTCCATGTTTTACTGACATTCAGGACGATGTTGGGAGTGGTGCTTCTGGCTGCTAGTCTATGCCTGCTGCCCTGTGCTGTGACATGGAGCCAGGGCCTCACCACGTGTACTTGGGGAGACGATTCAGTGCATAGCAGGGCCTCAGGCCTCGAGCAGCCGAGACAGGATGTGAATGTTCAGAAACATGAGCAGTTCACATGGGGATGCCTGTGAAAAGAGTGGTTTGGAAATTAATACCTTACCATGAAAACCTCTCCTGGCCCAGCTCTCTCCGTGCGCTGCTCCATCGGCTATGGCTGTGCCCAGGATTCTGTGACTTCTCCATGTCCATCCCTCCAGTGGCTGAGGGTCTGTGTCACCCATGAGTGGTGTGGTGGGCACCCCTCAGTGGCCTGGCTGTAGGTGTGTGTGCTGGGCCTAGGAGGACCAGTCGGCAGGCTGGTCACTGATGTCAGGCTCCCTGGCTGTTGGTTCTGCCCAAGACACCCAGTGGGACCATCAAAGGGACATTTGGGAGCTTCGTGCTGACGCTGATGCTGGCTCAGGTCCTGTCAGTAGGTTTTTCCTCTTTGCCTTCACACACATCCTCTTACCTTATCTCTGCCTCAGGACAAACCATTTTACACGGGCTCCCTGTGCCAGCTGGAGTCAGGGCAGGGACTGTCCGCCTGGCGCTGCCAGCCCCACCAGGCCAGAGCCCACGCCAGCACCCATCCAGCACAGGAAGGAGAAGTACATTGGTCAGTTTGTTTATAACCACTTAAATATTTCTACCATACTCCATTCAATGAAACATGTTAAGATTAGGAGAAATGTTTAAAGAACTTTAAAATGTTCTGCCTCGTTGTAGTAATTTCTGTTGTTGATGTTTTTACTAATAAAAATTATTAGAGAATGCAGCCTCTACCAGATCAAAAGCTGATGCTAGTTGATTCCTAATTACACGTGAATTCCACTCCATTTCCCAGTTAAGACAGGAACGGACAGAAAGAGAAGGAACAGTGCTGGCGGGTTAGTCAGGGGAGGGGCTCCTATGTCTGGAGGCCGCGCAGCTCTGGGGAAGAGGCCCAGTGGCGGCGAGTCCGTGATCTGGGATACCGCTGTCAGCCGCTCCGAGGCAAATGCTGTCCTTTCTGAATTTTTAACCTGTGCCTCCCCTCGTTGTGTCCACCCTGGAGGCCTTTGGTCTGCCGTGGGCCTCCCAAGTCCGCAGCCCTTGCTCGCTGGGTGGCCTCCGTGACGTGTGAGTGTCACTGTGGTTTGTCTCACAGTGAAATCACCTGTCAAAACAGAAAGACGCTCCATTTTCAAGACCTAAAAAATTGATTTTTATGGCTGTTCTTGTAATTCCCTTTTTGAATTAGGCACGCGATATTGATGTGGGCCTACTTTTTAATCATAATATCTCCTGACAAGGTAATTAATTTTAAAACAACGGTTTTTTTCCTCCTGGTCCAAATGGCACTCTGACGAAATTAAAAGTGAGGCCCTGGGCCCGGCACTCAGGCGATTGCCTGGGCCCGTGGCGGCCCCTCCCGCTGCCGCCGCGGCACGACCTCTCAGACCCCGCCGTTATTAATGGGCGCAGGCCATTCCATCAGGAAGGGAGAGCCACGGAAGTGGGATAAAGTTTAGGTTTTTAATGACAGTGTTACAAGGCTCTGGACACGCCGTTGAAACCTTCTATTCATCACCGCAGGCATCTCTGTCCCCGCACCTTCCCTTCGGGTGGCAGAGCCAGGCCCTGGGAAGGCACGTTTTCTCTCTCTAAACACTTGGAGGTTTTTAAAGTTTATTCTGTCAGGTGCTAAATCTGAAATTTGAAATTTGTTTGTTTGTTTTAAAAAGAATTTACCTCAAATTGGGCTCTACCATCTTATTAGCCCAATAGTCTTTGCTTCCTAACTCAGTGAGGGTATCAGCCGCTCACATTTCTTCCTAGTCTCCAATTCCCTTTCCACCAAAAGTGGGGTCTCAGTTGAGCCGAACACTTTCACCATTTAATCAACCAGTGCCAGCTTCAGCACGCGCCCCAGAACAGCTCCATGTCACTGGCGGGGGGTCACCATGGTGTCCCGTAAATGCACCCTGGATTGTGTTCTCGGGTGGGCCTTGCTCCAGGCTGGGGTGTCCCAGCACCTACCCCCTACAGCCCGTGTGTAGCCTCCAGGGCTTGGCTCACTGTGAACCCTCATGGATCCCACAAGACGGGAGCCCTGGCCTCTCCTGTGACAAGAGTGGTCTTCAGCTGACAGCCAGAAGTCAGTCAGCATAACGAGCTGTGCTGACAGTGTGCTTTCTCAGTCTGAAGCCCAGGGACGGTGCTCCCTGACCTCTCCCTGGCCCATGGCTGGTGGCAGCTCCGTGGAGTTGGAACTCTGCGCAGGACGGGCCCTGAGCCTGCGGGGACAAGGCTCCCTCACAGAAGCAGAGCACGTCACTGTCTTCTCATTTCCCGTGTGGCTTCTGTGTACAGGGTGGGAGCCAGGAACCCCATGTCCTAAGGGTCCTGAGGAGAGGACTCCTACTGACCTTTCTAGGAACCTACACGGTTCTCAGGATTTTTTAAAAGATGTTTAATTCCAGGAAAAAATTATATATATATATATATATATATATATATATATATATATATATATATATATATATTTTTTTTTTTTTTTTTTTTAGGATGGCTGCAATAGCTAGGTTCCTGTGGGCACCTGTGAGGCAGGTTCTGTCCCTTCACCTGTGAGCACAGCGCAGGAGGGGAAAGGAAGGGCCTGTGCTTGTCCTGGTCACAGTGGGGGCCAGTCCACGGGCTGAATGAGGCTGGTGTCCCTGCCCACACCTCTGACGTCTTCATTCCTGATTAGTGTTTCCTCTGCAGAAAGATTTAATTTTAACGCAGTGAAATTGCTAGTCACCAACATTAATAACAATCTGTGAAAATGTTCTTTCTCTTCAAATTAATGTAATTGTTAAATATTACTAAAAAGGAGAACACGGCTTATCATGAAATTTAGCTACACGATTGAGCAATTAATATGTAAGAGAAATAGGAACATGGCCGAGATGGTTTTTTAAAGAATGTCGACAAGAAAGAAGGGTCTCCCTATAAAGTCAGATTAAGGAAAAGTGTCCCAGATGGATGAAGGATCCACAGAAAAGAATAGGGAGTCACAAAAAGTTTCAATTCGCTTGCGGAATTTTGTGCTTTACAACCTCGGAGAAGAAAGCATTGAATGTTTAATAGATGGTGCAGCTCAATGGACCATTGAGAAATCGATAAACTCAGACCCCTACTTCCCAGAGTGACTTCAGACAGATTAACCAGCCACAGAACTCCACCGTGAAGATAAGGACGGAAGCTGTTTGTGGACGGGGTCGGGAAGGCCCTCTGGAGAATCAGTCTATTTCACTGCGTGAAAACAAAATGTCTGCAGAAACAGAGCCAAAGGCCAGCAACAGATGGGAGTTAACATCACAATTTACAGGAAAACTCTTGGAATTCCAAGTGAAAAAGGCAAGAAACTCAAAAGAAAAGCCATCTGAACAAGTAGAAGCAGAGAATGCAGAGTCTAACAGGTGCATGAGAGGACGGTCAGTCTCCTGTAATCACACAAATGAAAACAAAGACGGCGTTTCCACTCCTCAGACAGGTTCCATAGAATACAGCAAGTTCATCCGCTCGGACACGGGTGAGCAAGCAGCCACCGGGCCGCCTGACAGCACCTGGGAGCCGGATCCTCAGGACCGAGTCCAACCATCCTCATCACAGTAGGAGGCACCCACCCAGCCCCGTACTGCCCATCACTCTTCTCTAGTTTCTCAAGATGATGAATCAAGTTAGCAAAGACTGAGCAGGTGATCCGTGCGCCTGCCCCCGGAGGGCACGGTGCCCGGGCTCCACACAACTGCACCAACAAGCGTTACAGGGTGGGCCGGGACGCATCGGGGTCCTTGGTATCCAAGTAGGTGTTTCTGAGTGACTGGTGAAGACCCTTTTGCCTGCCTGGCCCAATTAGGGTTTAAGTCCGTCTCAGAACAGCCCACCCACAGCTCTGCACAGCAAGTGTGTCCATGAAGCCACAGCTGGGCAGTGACGCTGGGAAGCTTGGTCACCAAGTTTGCCTTTCCTTTTGCACAGATGACACGTCTGTTCGGCTGATTGACTTGTAAGAGGTTCTCGTTCTGCTTTGGAAACGGGAGTAGTTAGCACTTTGCCCGCCCTCAGAGCCACATTCGTGGTGGGCGGTGGCCAGCAGGTTTGAGCAGTTCCCAGGCCTCCTTGTCTGAGGGCAGAGGTAGAGGCCACACTTGCCATGGACATGCTTCTCAATGGAAAGTCTTCATGGAACACACTGGGATCCACTTAACATTCGGTAGCAACATGTTTTCCAGCCAGGCAGTACCTGCTTGAAAAGATAAGTTGCCGTTATCTTAAAACTGAAACATCCAATGGGGGTGATATGTGAACACTTTCAGGGCAAGTCCAAGCAGCCCTCCCTGCCTGAGGGGGACCATCCAAAGGCAGGTGAAGGCGGCCTAGGCCCTGTGGACCGTCTCACCCATGTGGCTCCCTCTGGCCACCAGCCCTCCCACACGCTGTTACCCAGCAGGGCTCACTGCGCACGGCATGGGAGCCAACACGATGGCACTGGCTGTCAAGAAAAGAAAGCTTTTATGTACGAGTTGATTTGGCAAGAAGATAGGAGGGACTCAAATCAGTCCCCCCATCCAGTGCTCAGGGCGGATTGAAGGGGTTTCAGCACCAGATATTCCTGGACAGCGGACCTTCCTTCTGCAATGGTCCAGATGTGTGTGTGTGTGTGTGTGTGTGTGTGTGTGTGTGTGTGTGTGTGTGTGTGTTGGGGTGGGGTGGAGGGCACAGTGGAGGAGGACACAGTTAAGGGTCCACAGTGTTAGTCCTGAGTGCTGTTCACAGCATTGCCCACCGTGAGTGGGGCAAACTGGTTCCAGGTCTTGTTGGAAGCAGGACAGGACGAGTTTGAGCTGGTCCTGCATTATAGGTCCCTGTACACACCACCACCCCAGCTTCCGGCTGCTTCCCGAATCCTGGGAGCCCCAGTGGGAGCCTGTCTTCCCTGGTGCAGGCTGTGCTTCCCACCAAGTGTGTTCACGCCGCTGGCCCAGTCGATGAGGACCGGCTGGCGGCACACACGATGCTGGAGAGGGCCTGGCACCGTAGGTGGACATGTGTGGCCGTGGCCACTTGGCTAAGTGTTGGGATTCGCATCTGCCTTCCACGGAAGGTGGTATAAAATGTGTGGTAAGAGTGTGGCTGCAGCGGCCAGTGGGCGTGAACGCACACTAACCTGTCTCCTCTCCTCCCAGGATCATTGACCAGCGATTCGAGAAAGTATCCTACTTTGTCTTTGGTGACTTCAACTTCCGACTGGATTCCAAGTCCGTGGTGGAGGTAGGCCCCCGGCCCTCGCACGTCTGGAGCCCACGCGTGTTCAGAGGTGGTAGGAAGGCAGCAGAGTCGTGCTGTCCTTTACGAGCGAGTTCAGTGTCCTCATTCCCACTGGTTATGTTTACGGCAAAAACTAATAAAGAAATGTCTTGCTATCAGAAAAGGGGGCTGTTCTTGGGATCAGGTAGATGGGGGTCCCTCAGACTTCCGCAGTCGCCGTCAGCCGCTGCTCAGTGGCAGGACCTGTTCTATCTTGACAACTGAAGTTGTCAACTACTGAAAAGAAACAAGGAAGCAGCTCAGCGGCCAGCGCTCTGCCCTGTCTGGGCTTCTCTCTCCTTGTGGCACATTCTGTCTCCTTTAATAAACGTCGATGTCGCTTCATCTTTGGGAACTCAGAGGCCATGTGTTTCCCGGGCACACCCACAGGGCCTGACGAGGTCCCTGCAGGGGCACTGGGACAGTGGGTGGGCTGTTGGGCTGCAGCTCTGATGCCAGCTCTCCCAGGCGCTGCAGGGGAGACCCCTCCACCTTGAGCCTGCACCTGCCTGGCAGGAGCTGGTGTTGGGGGAGGCGGCAGCAGTGTGCCAGGCAAGCCTCCTGGAGCTCGGTCCCACGCCAGGCACAGACTCCAGAGCGCATGTGTGGTGACCACAGTGGGAACAACAATATGGAAACGTGGCAGTCCCTCCAAGTTATTATCTTCCCATTAGTAGTCTCATTACAAATATCGTCACACATTAATCTTCAGTCTTTGGTAGGAAATTATTTCTTAAAGACAGACGGAGCAGGCTTTGATCATCCCACAGCTCCCCGTGGTTGACAGAAATGAATAATGTTGTATTGAAATCCTCTTTTATAATTTAATTAAGCTGGCGCTACCTCACCACGCCAGCCCCACACACACATGTGTAATGCTCACCGACCACCAGAGCACGGCTCCCTGACATCAAGGGGCCCCTGAGCGTGGGGCGGGGGCTCCGACGTCAGGGAGTGCTCTCAGGTAGACTGGTGAGCAGGTGAGTGCCCCTGGGACTACAGAATCCTTCCTTTGGTCTGCTGAGTCTTCTTTCCTCATTTTGAAATTGAAGAGCTAATGAGTTAGGTATCAGGGACCCAATCAAAGTCCCTCAGGCCCTGCAGCCCTAGGGGACTCAGAAGCCACTCCTATCATGTTAAAATCTACCCTATGTCTGACACCATCGGCTGGAGTGGCCACAGAGGCCTGGGCTCTGGAGGAAGGCACCTTCCCCAGTAACCTTAGGCCCCGGGGGCTGCAGAGCTGCACTGTTATATCTTGAGTCCCTGGGCACTCTCATTGTTCCCGGCGCCGGGGACCAGCGGGTCTGCTCTGCTTGGATCTGCCCACCGCTCTCCTAGTGGATCTCCTCTCAGCCAGGCACGGCGGGGCTTTGAAAGACCTCGGCTGATCAATCAGGAGCCACCCAGCAGCTTGCACGTTGGGAAAAGGTCAGAGATTCACACGTGGCCTTTTCTTCCTGATAGAACAAATATCACATAGAAGGGCAGTGCTCCGGACTGAGGTCAGATAGTCACAGGCGTGTGCACAATCCGGTTCTGGTTCCCGTGGGGGTGCTTTGCTGCACACCAGCTGTGCAGGGCGTGAGGTGCCGCAGGCGGTGGTGACGGGGCGGGAGGGCCTGGGTCATTGGTGGGTTTGGGGAGGCTTGTCTATATAATCAGAGTTTTCCTTTTTCTTAGTGGGTGCACGGACGTGACTGTAGGAGGCCCGTGTGCTCAGTTAGGGACAGGTGCGTTCCTGGGGGGCCCACAGCCCACTAATAAGATACACTCATCTCCCACTCTCCCAACATGTGTGCCCAGCGCCCTTTCTCAGGCATGTGCATCCGTGTGCAGGGATCGCGGGCTCGGGGCCTCAGGCTGCGCTCTCCACTTGGCCTCTGGCACACTTCTCTTTCCTTTTCATTCCTTCCAAGCGAAGTGTCTGATGAGGATGTGCGGGGAGGTCATAGAGGGGGGCTTGTTAGAGATGCAGATCAGGGGGCCTAGACTCAGAGCAGATGGGAGCCAGGGCATCACCTGGAGCACCATGTTCCACGCTGGGTGGTCCTGTGGGGTCTCAGACAAGCTTGAGCACCAGATCCCATGCTGTCCATCCTGTGGGGTCTCAGACAGTTGTGTGGGTAGGGGAGGCGCAGCCCCAAGCAGACACTGGGGTATGGGCAGCAAGCCCTCTGCCTCACCCTGCCCCCCATCAGGGACCCAGAGCATTCTCTGTCCTCAGCACTGCCACCAGCCTGGGCCTCTGCCTGGTACCGTCTCTTCTCCTCCTGCTGAATGGGCAGGCAGGCTGCCCATAGCAGTGACCTCTCTTGGGACACTGTCTCTGGGCACCCACATTTAGTGCCTGCAGATCAGGTCCCAGAGGCAGGAGAAGGCCACGCAGCCCAACCCCACTCGGTGTTTGGGGGGAAGTCTGTGCTCTCAGCTCCAGGGGGTTTCTCAAGTTATGTTCCTATCACCCAGGGCCAAGTGAGAGGTGTCCACACCTGTCCTGCCCAGTGCTGGGTTGTGTGTGGTACGCAGGCTGCTGTCAGCATGGGATACGGCATCGTTGCTTTGTCTGGAGTTGACAGACAACCTCCCTCCTGAAGAAGAAGGTTGAGGTTATAATTTTGGCTCAACTAGAAGCCACAGCTTGACTTGGTCTCCTTGCTGACCCCACCTGGAGTGGCAAGCTGAGCCTCCCTGGTCCTGGACACTGGCTGTGCCCAGCTGGCACAGTCCACGGAGGTTCATTCAATCCATATTTAGAGCAAGAGAGGCAACGAGCTAGATCTGGGCAGCAGGGAGTCAAAGGCAGTGACTGTCCCCCGGTGGCTGGAGCAGGGCGGACGCGGGAGCTGCGGCCCGAGGAGGAAGCCGTCATTTGTGGAGAGGGAAGGTTATGGGGGTCACCACAGGCTTGGCCGGAACCCGCCTGGGAGAGAGGCGCTATGTGCACTGGGAAGACTGTCCCCCAGGCATCAGCCACTTTGCATTTCAGATGCAAATTAATACAAGCAGGCTTGCGAAGCAGAACTGAGGAGAGGATATTGTGATCACATGTGGCATCGCCTAAGCCATAATTAAAACATAAACAAACACGATTATCATGTGCCCCCTAAGGGGCCGCGCGTCATGGAACTAATTAATAATGCAGCCTCCACTCGCCCTGCTGGCGGATCACTCAGAGGGCATGTTTCTTGCCTTGCGCAGTGGCAACTGGCAGCTGGGGCTCTCAGCTGGCCGTAGTGACAAACAGTGACAGCAGTGCCAGGCGCTCCCATCTCCTCGCAGCCCAGCCGAGTGCCCACCTGCCGCCCATCACTGCCGACAGTGATGGTGATGGATGCGTTTTGGAGACTGGCAGCCATTTTCAGAAGTCTGTAACTGACAGGTACACGTGTGTTCAGGTACCAGGTGGACCTGTTAAATGCCCTGTGAGGAGCTGACTTAAAAGCAGCGATTGTCCAGGAAGCCATGCTCGCAGGAGGGGTGCTGGGCAGTGCTGGGCAATGCTGGGCAGGGGGGTCCTAGTTGACCCTATGACCTTTGGAGAGGATGAGGAAATCGCTGTAGAGGTCCCCAGGCCTCTCACACAGCGGAAAGGGGCATCGCCTCTGGTCAATCCTCTGAGAACCCCCACTGGACCACCCCCCATGCTGGCTGACATCGGCTGAGCACACGTCGAGCACCAGGTGAAATGCTGGCTTTCATCTGGGTTCCGGTCACCTTGTTGAACCAAACCCAACCACATCTCTGCACCTAGGACCCCTAAGCCTGGGGACCCAGCGGGCACGGGCCAGGCCAGCTCCTTGTGGGGGCCCTGCAGCCAGGGCAATAGCTGTGTTGCTGGCCTGGTACGTGTATGCAAGGTGTGACTGCCACTCCTCAGTTAGGGTGTGCCTGGCAGCCTGGCTCAGCCCTGCAGAAGCCCCCACGGGTGGCAGTTCTCCAGCCAGGGCTGCACCTGTGAGTGTCATGAGCCCAGGAGGTCCAGGCAGTTTGCCATCCACTAGACAAGTAACAGGGATGTGTCCCCCAACTTCCCTATCGGCCTGGAGAAAGCCTTTCTTAGAGCAAGGCCTTTGCAGGCCTGTCTCCTGGTCTCTGGAATGCGTAGTTTCAACACGACAGCCAGTCTGTTTCACTGCCCTCGGCAAATGTTAGCGGTCATGGAGTTTTTTTCTAAAGTGGGAGCAGTGTGGACAGATCTGTTCGGACCTCACAGGGCCCAGCTTGTGCCCTGAGCAGCCTCCCTCTGGCTCTGGACACTCTTCTGACTGTGTCCTTGTTACACTGAATTGCTCTGATGGACAAGGACAGGGCTGCTGGAGGGACCGGGAGTCAGGTGTGTCAGCCGCGCTGTACTTGCTTGGTTTTTAAAGAGTCTTGGTCTAAAGAATAGAATTCTGTATGAATTTACATCATTTGATTTATTTTATTCATTACTGTTCTAAAGAGACCTTTATTTAGTCTGTTTGATATAGGGCCTGTGACAATTAATCAAAAATGAAATATAGTTTCAACTTAATTATGATGCATCTCCAGGGCTTTTATTAGAGGGTTTTCTTCCAGAAAATTTGCTTTATAAACATTGGCCAGTGTTTTCAACTAGAGATTGAGGTCAGAATAATTATTCTAATTATGGAAAAGGAAGAAAAAGGACAGTACATTTGTGGCTTCCCCCCTCCTCCCCTCTGCTATAGGAACAAGATTTTCTGAATCATAATCACTTCTGAGCTCACTGATCTTTAATGTGCTTTTCTGGGTGTTTTGCTAGGTCCTGCTTTCTGCCCGCCCTCAGGGCTAGTACAGCCCCATGGGGACTTTAGGACTCAGAGCAGATCCTCCATGCCAGGCCTGGGGGCAGGCACTCCAAGGCCACGATCCGTGGCTGCCTGTGCAGGTCTATGCCTCCTTGCACACGCCCTCCCACTGGCTGAGCCCAGGCGTATCAGTGGAAGGCTGGTGACGTC